GAGAGAGAGAGAGAGAGAGAGAGAGAGAGAGAGAGAGAGAGAGAGAGATTTTAGTTTTTTTAATTATTTAAATACCAAATTAAAATAAAGAAAATAGAAAAAAGAAATGAAAAGGGTAAAATCGACTTTTCAAGTGTATCAGGGACCAAAAACCCAGAAAAACCTTGATTTTGGACGTGTCATGCAAGTTAAAAACTTTTTGGATCCTATCCAAATATTTTTGTAAACCACAAGGACTAAGTTTGCAGTTTTGTCATCCAAATATTACCCAAAATGAAAAGTTTGTACCTATGATATTAGTTAAAACTTTTTTGGACCAAACTTACCAGTTGTGAAATAAATATGGTTAGTTTAAAATTATAAAAATGAACATTCTTGCAGTTTTGTCAAATAAATATGGACCAAATTTGTTTTAAAATTTTAAAGGTTAGTTTAAAATTATAAAAATGAAAAATAAGACGTGAGGTGACACTAGATGTATAGCACAGGTACTATTCATCAAGTTGCTTTTAAGTATAGTTATATAATTCATATAGAATAATTTTAGGACCTATCTTTCAAAGTGTCGCATATCGACATGGTAGAAAATAGGGATGAGCATTTGGACCGGGAAACCGGAACCGAAACCGAATAGAACTGATCGGGCCGGAACCGGGACGATATTCTTGTGGATTTTTGGAACCGGCAAAAACCGATAGAACCGGCAAAAACCGTAACCGTATGTTGCTATTTTTTGAAGACCGGTTCCAACATTCAAGACACGGCAAGAACTGGTAGGAACCGGGAACCGGTAGAACCAACGGTCCGGTTCAGTTCTTAAATTCGGCCGACTTCGATTCTCGGGCCGGTTCCAGCCGGGTCGGTTCCTTTACTCATCCCTAGTAGAAAACAAGTCTATTATATCTTATATCAAGCGAGTTGGTGTTATTAGAGCAACTCTAACTATACTTTATTTATCATCATTTTTAGTGTTTTGGAGGCTAAAAATTCTCCAATCAATCTTCAAATTTAATATAATTTTTGTGTTGGCTACCTTTTAATACCAAATATGATGACCAAATATAGAGACCTCCAAAAAACACCATTTTAGAGGTTGGGTGGAGTTGAATCACTATTTTGATATTAAACAATTATTATTTTTATGTTATGTGGTTGGAGAAGCTCTTAGTCGTAAGCTGTTAAACAAAAAAAAATGATATACAATCAATTCATAATTTGTTTAAAATCCTTGAGTCAATTGGTATTGTGCAAGTAGTAACGAGTCCGAGTTTTAGGTACAAAAGTTATATTTCTTAAAAAAAACAATATTTTTTACGGACTTAACCTTTCCGTTCAACCGTTTTTTACTAAAAGGTACGGTTTTTTTCAGGTTTAATTGCAACCAACACTTTATCGTTTGTAAATCGATGACCTGATTGGTTTTTGGTTGAATTGGCCCGTCAAGTGTTTTGTTGTGTATGACCAATTTACCACAAGTATTGTTGGTTCTTTTATTTTTATCAATTAATTTTAACTAGGGACCCATATGATTTTCTGTTATAGATTTGCAGCTATGAACTATACTTAAATTTTTAAAAACAAATTGTATTAATTTTGGGGCTAAATTAAAAAAAATATATTATTTTTATTTGTTTATGTTACAAAACCCTTAAAATGGTTTTTTTTTTTTTTAATTTTTTATAAACGATTCTCTTAATTATTTAATTAATAAACACAAATATATGGTGTGTGTAAAAGACAAGGCACCTACAACACAAAATGAAGGTGCTTTATTTATTTATTATATAGGAAACGACCATTGTATACAAGGTCTTACTTACACCATTAGTATGTCCATTCCGGAGGTAAAAGCAATTCTATTGGGATTTCATCAAATTCATTACCCTCTTCTTTCACCCCAAAACGCTTCTCTTCATCTTGCTTCATCTGTCCAACATACATGCCTATAATATATAATATATAGAACATTAGAGGAAAGATTAAAAAAGGAATGCAAAAACAAATGGTAAATAGCTGTTCCACAAATTTTTACCATGTTGTTACACACTTATTTTTATTTGATTCACCTACTTGATACATAATTTAAATAAGGTATTAGAGATTACGTATCAATAGATAAATGTTTATATGTATATTTTCGAAAGACGACACGATAAATTTTTTTACAAGCAAAAACAAATTAGGTAAAAATGGGTCATTACAAAAATTGTCAGCCCTATGGTCTTGTTTGCAACGGCACAATAATACAAAATTTCGTTCGTTAAGGAGTTACAAAATATATGAATACATATGTGGGTGAGCATTTTGTGGTTTGTAATGATTTTTTTTGCACCGGAACTATTGAGACATATCGGGTGTCGGTGCCGGTTTTTTGGTTCTTGGACCGGTTAGATCGATACACATTAATTGTGTATGATACAAGTGTTGAAGTGGTAACAAAAGTTAGTTTTTTGATGCTAAAGTTAATATTTTTAAGGATAATAGTATTACGAAGCTTAAAACAAATACATAAGGTTTTGAAAAACTTATGAATTGATCTCATGCATTTTTTAAAATTTCACATAATACACATAAAAACTGAAAAACTGAAGGAAAAGGCCTCGAAGCCAGATGGTTTTTCGTTTAAATTCATCAAAAGACATTGGGATCTACTAACGGGAGTTATCTTCAATGTTGTTAACATTTTAAGAAATATGGTAAGATGGAGAGAGGATGTAACTCGTCTTTTATTACTTTAGTCCCTAAAGTAAAAGACCCTTTCAAACTTGGCGATTATAGGCCAATTAGCCTAATCGGATGCCTGTACAAGATTATTGTCAAATCTCATGATATTCGTCTCAAGAAGATCATAGCTAAATGCATTAATGAGGTGTAATCGACCTTTGTGGAAGATCAGAATATTCTTGATGTCCCTCTGGTAGTTAATGAACTGTGATCCTGGGAAAAAAAATCAATAAAGACACTTCTCCTTTTCAAAGTTGATTTTGACAAGATGTTTGATTATATTAATTGGGAATAACTCGATTCGACACTTCCCTCTGGTAGTTAATGAATTGTGATCCTGGGAAAAAAAATCAATAAAGACACTTCTCATTTTCAAAGTTGATTTTGACAAGATGTTTGATTATATTAATTGAGAATAAATCGCTTCGACACTTGAACATATGGGTTTCGGGAGAAAATAGAGATTATGGAATATGGATAAACGGATGTTTGAAATCTGCTAGAGCCTCAATTCCAGTCAACGGATCCGCAACGGAAGAGTTCTCTATGGGTAAAGGTGTCAGGCAAAGTGACCATTTTTCACCATTTCTTTTTTAAATTGCAATGGAAGGGCTAAATATAGTAATGCAGTCAGCAGGTGAAAATGGATATTTTAATGGGGTAAAAATTCCACATGGAGGAACGACTATTTCACACTTGTTTTATGCGGATGTCGCTCTCTTTATTGGAGAATGGTGTAGAGAAAACATAAAGAACCTTGCCTGAATTCTTAGATGCTTTCATGTCACATCTTGTTTAAAAGTTGACCTTCATAAGCCTCGTGTCTTTGGTATTGGGGCGAATATGCGAGAAGTCTCGGGATGGGCAATATCTCTTGGTTGTGATTTGGAAAATCTCCCTTTCACCTATCTTGGCGTTCTGGTGGGGGCAAATATGAACCTAAAAAGATATTGGAAACCAATAATCGATAGATTTCACTCAAAACTCTTAACATGGAAGGCTAAGACTCTATCATTTGGTGGGCGAGTAACACTTATAAAGGCTGCTTTGGGAAATCTTTCCACACATTTTTTCTCTCTTTTTGTGGCTCCAATGTGGGTCACAAACGAACTTGAGAAAATACAAAGAAAATTCTTACGGGGCAGAGGGGAGACTAAAAGTAAATTCTTAGAGCGTTGAACATAACACTGATTGTGAAATGGTGGTCCCGTCTTAGATCAAACTAGAACTCGATTTGGGCAAAAAGTCTTTATTGGTATCCACAATCTAAAGAACAAGCATGCAGAGTGTATGTAAAAAATCTATTGCAAGGGTTTGGAATAATGTAGCAGGGATTGCATTGAATCTTCAAAAATTGAGCATTGAGATAAAGGATGTCATCACAAAAAAGGTGTATGCTGGGAACGATACCTTATTTTGCCAGGATTGGTGGATTGCACCTGGACCTCTGAAGGATGTTTTCCAATATTTATACAATGTCGAGAGAAAAAAAAAGATATCCAATATTGAAGAATGAATTCGAATAGGAGGTTATATATGGGACCGGACTGCAAACTGGTTACCTGTGGAGCATGATTCAGAGCTTAAATCGTTCTTTCTTGTTATCAATTCGTTCCAACCTTGCTTGAGAAGAGATGAATGGAAATGTAATATCTCCCCTGATGGAATTTATCATGTTGACATCCTTCGTAGGAGAATCGAATACCCGGTTGCTGATCACTATTTTTTATGGGACTCTTTGGTGGTTATGGAAGGCGATATGTGATTGTGTGTTCAAACAAATTCGACCTCCACCTTTCAAGACTGCTGATAATATAAAATCACTTGTTTTCACGTGGATCAAACATCAGAGATCGAATTGCTCTTATAATTGGAATGTGTGGTGTATTTCCCCTTTCATTTGTCTCTAAAATTTGTTTTATTTTACCGTCTATTTTATAGTCTCTTACTTGGCTAGCCGCTTGTTAGGCGTGATTCTTTTAATATATTTGTTGGTTAAAAATAATCTTATTATTCTAAATTTACTTAAAAGCATATATTATTATCCTTTTTAATAAAAGTTTAGTCAAAATTTATCCGTATAAAAATAAAAGTGTTACCAAAAAAGTTTATATGTAGCATTAATTCCGGCTTATACATTTTTTTATTTATTTTCTTCAACTGATAATTTATCATGTGATTATTAACAAAAAAAAAATATAATAAAATTATATCAATTTCATGAGATAATATCATGACTTCGACCTCCTAAAATACACCATCAAGTACATGCAACTTTTATTCCAAAAATAATTATAAAAAAAAAACCATCGAAAATAAGGTTTTTGTGAGCACTAGTAGTTGAGATTTTGGGGATGATTATAAACTTGCATTTTCACATTTTAAAATCACAAAAGAAATTGATATGAAAGAATTATAATATATCATTGTTAATTTACAAGAACTGGATTAATTAGATTCATTAGTAAAATTGAATAATTTAAGAAAAAACCATATAATTAAGTTTTATTATTTAAGGTAATATATCTTTATTATAAGAAAAGAATATGTTTATTTTTCTTTTGTCATATGTCACCTTATTAGGGCTTCTAATTAATGTCATATAACTTGTCAACCTATTCAAAATTTAAATTTTTCACTCTAATTACATTAAATTAATAACATTAGAAAAAAAATTAAAATAAATTAATACATATTATAAGTTATTATATTTTCATGTATTTATTTAAATCAAAGAATATAATTTTATATAACTAAATTTTTTTAATTAATAATTTATTTAAAATATTTGATTAATAGTTTTGAGTTTTACTATGAAAATTTAATTAATTTTGTAATCGTGGTTTCCACAGATTATAAACTAGTATTAAAATAAAATTCTCTCTCTCTCTCTCTCTCTCTATGTGTGTGTGTGTGTGTGGAAACGTATACATTTTGGAGTATTTGTTAGGACATTAGGTATAATTTTAGGAGTTTTTAGTTTTTAGTGATTTTAACTTTTTTGTTTTTATGTAATTCTATATTATTAATATATTGTAATTATTTTTTTTTTCAAACATTTGTACATAATAAAAAATTTACGACTTTCAACTATCAACTACTTGTTTCCGGTTAATTTTGTCAATCATATTCAAACAATTTCTTAGTCTCACTCGAAAGGTGTTGGTTTTGTATTGCCTGTCAAAGCTCTCATGTTCAAGCTCGACAAATAGTTGTTCGGTTATGTTTAGATGCTTTTGGGAATTAGAAGTTCGAGTACACTTAACATGTTTGCCAAGACTCTAGATGGATATTGCGAGTTCATTGTGACTCTTATGCCTAGTCCATGGATAATAGTGTAAATAATTATAGATAAAGTGGATATGACTTTGACCATTGTGATACGCATAAGGGAATTGCTCTTTTACTTTTGTTTCTTTTTGTTAATAATTGTTATTCCATTTCAATGTTGTCTTTCATACTCTCATATCTACCATTGAAGACAAAATAAGAAATTTCTATTTTGCCCATTGTTGTTTGTCTTTATCAACTATAATGTCTTCCTTAATTCGTGGTTATGCTACCAGATGTGCATACAAGGTCGGTGGGTGTGCAACGGGAAAAGTGCGAGGGAAAAGTTTTCCCACCCAGAAACACCATACCGTGGGTGAGGGAAAATGGGTGAGAGACAATAGCGGATTTAGTATGTTAGTAGTGGGGTGCATGCACCCCACTTAAAGTAGCCCAGCACATATATTATATATAAATGATGCTGCTAATAAGGCACTCTTTAGACACTCCATTAACACATTTATAAAAAATCAATCTATAACTAACTACTTATAATCGGTTTTTTCGGAAAACAATATAATTTCAACCAATAAAATATTTCAAAAATTAATTAGGGTGTCTATATGGTAAAATAAGGTGTCTTTTTAGTCAACACTTATAATGAAGAAAATAAATATAAAGTTATAGTTTTGCCCCACTTAAAATAGCATATTTTTAGAGTTTCTTTTGATCATATTCATTTTTACTTTTCTTTTACATAGTTATTTATCATTTTGTAGAAAAAAATCTCAAAAGGAAGCAACAAATATGTATATGATTACTTTTTTTTTTAAATTTTATTTAACAATTCATGGTAAAACATTAAATATTATGGTACTTTATTATTTTTATTTATTGTATTTTATTTACTATATAATATTAATAATATAATGGACATCGGTAAAACTTCGATCTGGATCCGCCACTGGTGAGGGAAAAGAGTGAGCGGAGTCAATCCCTTACTCTTTCTCCTCGTGTGATTGGTCAATATTTTTTTTCAGCTTTTATAATATTTATTAAATTATATATCTAATAAAAAATATATCAAAATTCATGGTTTTTAATTCCTAAAAAATAGTATAATATTTGTATGAAATATATATTTTTTTAAATAAAAAAAGTGAAAAATTCTTCCCATACACACATTGGGTTTTGGTGAAGGAAAGAAATGTAAGAGAAATACTGACGTGACAGACAAAAGGTGAGAGATCATTCCCACACACACCCTTAACAAGTTTCTTTCGGTTATAAAATAAATTTCCAAAATGTAACGTATAATATGACGAATATACGTGTTATAAAGTAAATTTCCTAAATGTAACGTATAATATGACGAATATACGTATTGTAACGTATAATATGACGAATATAAACCATAATATACTATATATTGATAGTGACATAATGGACCATCAAAATTTGAAAAAGCAAGATTTTTTTGTTTAAAAAAAACTTGGTTCAAAATACATATTTCTGGGATGTTGAAAGAAATATTTGTTCCTATTATATTTCAGGGATGTTGAAAGAAACATTTTGGGGATGTTCAAAATAAGGCTATGTTCGGTAGAGTAGCATAAAAACTAGTTGTTAGCTGAAAAACTAGCTAATAGCTGAAAAACTAGTTGTTAACTGAAAAGTTAGGTGTTAGCTTATAAACTAAGTGACAAAAAATGACGTTTGGTAAAAACTAATTGATAATATATTAGAAGAATATGTTTTAATAATTAGTTTATGGTATATTTGGAATTTTTTCAAAAAGCTTCTGAAAAATCAATCTAAGTAGCTTTTTAAAAAACTAGCTTATCAGCTACTTTTTTGTTTTGACAAACATTATAATTTAAAAAAAAACTCGAAAAATAAACACGCAAAACACAGCCTAAATAAATGTAGCTGCAAATCTTTTTACATTACAATATTTACTTAAAAAACATGAATATTTGTAAAAAAAAAATAGTTGTGTTATAATCCAACTAAAAAAATATATGTTAATTTTGTCATGTGTAGTTGCTTTTTATAATTTTGCAAGTATAAATTAAATATTGGAAAGTTAGAAACAATAAAAGTAGTTATTAGTTTTACTTAATTTCAAATGTAAATTTTAAAACAAATTGAAATTACTTTATTATTATTTTTATATTATATTATTTTGCCGATTCATAAAAAAATAAAAAAATAAAAAAATAAATCACCTTAACTTATACTAAGAATACAATATTCAGTTATTAACCTTCAAAAATCAAAATTAGTTTTTTAAAACGTGCAAGCCAATTCATTCCCTTTCTCTTCGAAATCGCGTTTTTTTTTTCTTGAATTTTTTTTATAATAAATTAAATAAACTTAAAAGTTAACTGCATTTGTAATAAAACTTACTTGCATTGGTTTTGCAATCATCAACTTTAGTGACACCGATCCTCTTTTGATACGCAGGTAAGAACACTCCGGTCCCGGCGCTTGTTTCCATCGGCGGAAACCACTTTCCGATCGCCGGATTCACAAAACCACCCTCACATGCTTTCTTTAGTACGTCAATCTGAAACCCAAAAAGCCAAAACAACAAAAGGAAGATGAAAATTTAATTTTCGGAAGAAAAAAACAAAGAAAGTTGGCACGCAAAATGATAAAGATATACCTGCAAATGAGCCGGATTGAGGGCTTCAAAGAGTTGCAGCGGCCGAGCTATGGTGTTCTCTTTCGTAGACCGGCAACCAACACCTCCACAACCGTCACCAATTCCGCCGTGAAAACGGAAGTAAGCTTTTGCACCGCCGCGACCCCACATGCCGAAACGCTGGTTGATTAAGAAACAAATTGATCAAAAGCCATGCAAAGAAGAATAAGAGGAAATCTTGTAATCTCAGAAATTTATCGTACCAGATTGGTGGTGGTGGGTGGTGGTTTAGCAAAATTGTTGATGGGTTGGTGACGGTGGAGGGGAGGATGTTCCCCAGGGCCGTTAATGGCGGAATGATCGGGGTAGTAGCTGCGGCGGTTGAAAGGAGAAGGTGATTGGGTGTAGTCATTTTGATCGGAGAAGTGGCGGAGCCACGGTTGTTTGTTGCGGTTGTCGGAGAGCTGATCGGACATTTTTTGGGCAATTTTGGGTGGTGAAAGCACGCGGAGTTCATTTTATAGGAGAGAGCCGAAGTCAAGTGTGTGATTAAGGTGATTACAGTGGGATTGAGGAAGTCACGTGATTGATGACTCACTTGCCACGTTGGAAACTTGTTGAAACTTGTGGGCCCTTCTCACTTGCTTCACCTATGACATGTAGCTTTAGGGACAAATAAAAAGTTTATATACAAACTAAAACTAGAAAATAGATACCATTATATATTCTAAAAGAATAAAAAGGAGAAGGATATATAATGAAAAATAATTGGTTTATAATCGGTGTATTTTTGGGTTTTAGACATTGGTAATAATAGTTTTGTAGGTCGGCAGGTTTAACTTCTCTATAAAAAATAGATTATAAAATATCCTTGGAATTTACGGAAAATCTTTTTTTTTTTTTTTTTTTTTGAGATTAAACTTACACAAAATAAATTTGTATGTTGAGAGGTTTGATCCCTATGCAGTGTCGGTCCTAATTTATCTTAGTCTCGGTCCAAACACAAA